TCACATATAAACAATACATGGAGTTCATATGACTCTAAGATTACATGCTTTCCTTTTTCTTATCGGTTATGACTTGGACATGTCAAGTTCCGCCCCGGTACTTGTAACTTGTAAACTTGTACACATGTATTATCGGCCGCCTTTTATAACTTGTAGTTGACCCATCGGGTCCTTGTAAACTTGTATTTGCGAAACTTGGACAAGCCAGCCATAACCTTAACCTCTTAGCCTTGCATATATCATGAATGTTTCACATATAGCATATACAACATCCATGGCTTACATCATGGTACATATCCATTATAACATCAATAAACATAACGTTTGCGTCAACTAGCAAACGACACATCATTCACATCATGATATCAATATCAATACGGATAATATTGTTATAACATCAATAAACACAATGTTTGCGTCAACTAGCAAACGACACATCATTCATATCATAGTATCAATATCAATAAATATAATATTAGCACTCAATAGCAATAACACATCACGGCACAACGATTATTATTCAACTCACAAAAATGACGTCTTCGTCGTTTATCAATGCGTCGCGTCTCGCACCTCACGCTCCTCGGCGTCTATAAACACATACACATATACTTTTATAAGTCATTTTATCATTATCAAACTTCTAAATATGCTTAAGGTACAAAATATGACTTTAGGGTTAACTTATTCCTTTATGGGTACTTGACCCCTTTTCACTCTTTCTACCATAAGTCTCAAAATACAGATTCAAATGATGCAATTCTAGTTTCACATGAAACTAGACTCATAGGGCTCTAACATATCCAAAAATCAAGTCTAGGTACGAAATACACAACTCATGATGATTTTCTAAAAATCAGAGTTGCTGCCATTTGTTTATGGGTACTTGACCTCTTGACGAGTTCACACTCTTTGTACTATAAATCCTAAAATACAGGGTAAAATGACAAAATTCTAGTTTTACATGAAACTAGACTCAAAGGGGTCTAACATATCCAAAAATCAGCCCAATATGCCATATACATGATTTATTCTAGATTTGTAAACTCTAACTAGCTTCCAACACCCTTGTTACCGAGCAAGTCCCCAAACAAACAACAATAAATCTAGATTGGGACATGATCAAGACCTAATTCTTTTTTTAAAAAGAACTAGACATATCAATATAAAACATATCCAAAAATCAGATCGAAATACTCAACACCCAAAGAATACCATATTTTTAAAGTTTGCACACTAATCTGCCAAGCATCGGATCACCCGAACAACATGTGTTCAAACCATCATAACCCGAAATATAAATCACTAAATACAAAACCCTTTCACAGAGAGCTAGATAAGACACAAACCAATAATTTTTATTCTTACAACTTGTTCCAGATCTGACCCTAAAGTCTCGAAATCAAGAGTGCAAAACAGAGCTGGGGATGAACTTACCTAGATTTCCAGCTTGATCATCCGAATTTGACAAAGAAATAGGGTTTTTCTCTCTTTCTCTCTCTCAAAACGGGAAACCAGATGGGATAAGAAGAGATAATGATCAGGTAAGTAATCTTGATAAGGTTGTGAAGATATTTTGGCAAAGTTCATTTTGGTCCCTCAAGTTTTAGCTTGTTTTTATTCTAGTCCCCCAACTTAGATTACATTCAATTAAGTCCCTCATTCTTCCTATTATTCCAAATACTTACAATTGAGCCCCTATTTCTTCCTATTATTTCAAATACTTATTATCCAATACCTCACTAACATGTCATATGCGAGTATAATTATATGCGTGTAATATCTAAGTATGCGTATATGCATGAACAAGTGTATGTTTTTGGGACGGGGTTATTACGGATGGAGGGAGAGCCAATCTATATGCTCGATTACCCACCCTATAGAGAATCTCATAAGGTCCGATATATCTAGGAATCAATTTTTCCTTGTTCCCAAACCGCATCACACCCTTCATCGGTGTTACCTTAAGAAACACGTTGTCACCCACTTTAAACTCTAAATCTTTTCTTCTTTGATCGACATAACTTTTCCGCCTACTCGAGTTGTTTTCATTCTTAGTCTTATTTCTCTATCACCTCAGCTGTTTGTTGAACTATCTCCGGTTCTATCAACTTCCTCTCACCTACCTTATCCCAATGAACCGATGATCTACACCTCCTCTTATATAGTGCCTCATAAGGTGGCATTATTATACTTTCCCGGTAACTATTATTATAGGTAAATTCTATAAGTGGTATATATTTTTCCCATTTACCCGACAAGTCAAGTACAAAAGCCCTTAGTATATCTTCCAAGTACTCGTATGATCGTCCATCACTTTGAAGGTGAAAAGTAATACTAAAATTCATCTTAGCACCCATTACCTCATATAAACCCTTCTAAAAATTCGATGTGAACCTTGGTTCTCTATCATATATAATCGATACGGGTACTCCATGTAACCTTATTATCTCCCTCATATATAATTCGCATATTGGGTCATGTTGAAAGTTGTTTTCACTCGGTAGAAAATAAGTTGACTTCATTAATCTATCTATAATAACCCAAATGGTAATAAATCCCTTTTTTGACCTTGATAATCCCACAAAAAAATTCATAGTTATGTGCTCACCACTTCCATTTAGGTATTGCCAAAGGTTATAAGAAACCCGATAGTCTTCGATGCTTAACCTTTACTTGTTGATAGGTCAAGCATCTAGCTATATGATTTATTAAATCCTTATTCATTCTTTTCCACCAATACACCGATTTTAAATCTTGATACATCTTGATACCACCGGGATGAACAGAATAAGGAGTAGAATGTACCTTCTTTAGAATTACTTCTCTTAAATCCTTATCCTTCGACACACATAACTTACCTCGATACCTCATTTCTCCATCACCATCTACTATAAAATCTGGTCTTTTCCCTTATTTATTTCTTTCTTCATCCTAATCACCTCATTATCGGCTAACTATCCGCTTTTGATTCTAGACCTCAAGTTCGATTCCAATAGTAAAACTAATAGCCTACACTTTCCTCCATTAGGCATCACCTCTAGATTAAGCTCCTCTAGATCCCTCAAAACACCTGTCCGTACTACTTTCATTGTTGTTCATGTTTTTTTACTTAAGGCATCCGCTACTATATTTGCTTTCCCTAGATGATAATGTAGTACACGATCATGATCTTCTAACACCTCTAACCATCTCCTCTCGTCTCATGTTTAACTTTTTCGAGTGAATAAGTATTTAAGACTTTTATGATCAGTATAAATATCAAACCTTACCCCCATACAAATAGTGTCTCTAAATTTTAAGTGTAAACACCACGGATGTTAACTCTAAATCATATGTGGGGTAGTTCTTCTCGTAATCTTTCAACTATTTTAAGGGATAAGCTATAACTTTTTCCTCTTACATTAATATCGTCCCCAATCCTATCTTAAAAGCATCTCGTGTACACCACAAAGTTACCATCGTTAGTTAGAAGAGTTAACACGGATGTAGTAGTCAATCTTTGTTTTAACTTTTAAAAACTCACCTCACATTCATCTTCCCACTAAAATTTGACATTTTTCTTAGTTAGCTTCGTTAATGGAGCGACCAACTTCGAAAAGCCCTCCACAAACCTCCGATAGTATCCGACCATTCCTAAAATACTCTACACCTCTAACATATTTCTAGGTTATCTCTAATTTTGAACCACCTCAACCTTACTTGGATCTACTCTTATCCCATCCTTTGACATCACATGACCCAAAAAAGCTACCTTATCGAGTCAAAATGCACACTTCTTGAATTTTACATACAAGTTGGTGCTCCTTCAATAGTTGCAGTATGATCTTTAAGTGCTCTACATGTTCTCCCCTCGCTCTTAGAGTAAACTAGAATATTATCAATAAAGACGATGACAAACCCGTCTAGGTATTTATGAAACACTCGATTTATGAGGTCCATAAAAGCTGCAAGAGCATTTATGAGTTCGAAAGGCATCACTAGAAATTCATAATGACCGTACGTAGTTCACAAATCAGCTTTACTTCATATCTTCTTCCTTAATTCTCAACCGATGGTACCACGACTGTAAATCGATCTTAGAGAAAATCGATGTCCTTTGTAACTCGATCAAACAAGTCATCAATACAAGGGAGGGGGTACTTATTCTTAATTGTTACTCGATTCAAACCTCAATAATCTATACACAACCTCAATGTCTTATCTTTCTTTTTTACAATAACACTAGTATACTCCATGGTGAACAACTTAGCCTTATATACCTCTTATCTAGTAACTCTTGTATCTGCTCCTTTAACTCTTTCAATTCTATCGATGCCATCTTATAAAAAGCCTTAGAAATTGAAGTGGTTCCTAACTCTAGCTCTATCTCAAAATCAATCTCCCTCGCTGGTGGTAATCCATTTAACCCCTTTGAAAATACATCTATAAACTCTCTTACTATCTCGATATCCTCTATTTTTTCCTTTATCTCCTTACTAGTATCTACTATATTGGCTAAATATCTTGTGCTTCCATTCTCTACCATCTTTCATGCTTTTATATCCGACACCATTGATACCGACCTCACCTTCTCACTTGCCTTAAACTCTAAAGGCTCTTCCCTAGATGGTTAGAATGTTGCCACCTTCGCTTTACAGATCAATTCTAGCTCCATACTTTGACAAACAATTCATACCTAGTATTATATCAAAATTATTAATACTAAGCAATATTAAGTTCATTTTTATTGACTTATCCCCCATCATAAGCTCACATCCCCTCATCAAATCCCTAAACTCCATTATATCTCCCGATGGTAACATTATTTCATAAATAGATTTTAATATTTTAGACTTCACACCTAATCTTCTTACGAAAGACCTCGATATAAATGAGTGTGTTGCTCCCGAATCTATCAAAGTATATGCAACCATTTTAGAGATTAGGCGAGTTACCATAAATTATTACTACATCAATCCGTTTGGCATGTTCCTAAGTTAGAGTATACACTCGAGTCGCTACCCTCCGATCGCCTCCATTTTTCTTAGGATATTGATTGGCCATATGTCCCGGCTCCTTACACTAGTAGCGAGTGTTAGTAGCCACCAAACGAGTTCTGTGGTGCATCCTTCCATACTTGATACATGCAACTCGTTAGCTTCGTTCTTTTTCGGTGTAACATCATCTCCCTTAACTTTTTTAATCCTCAATGAACTCCTAACCTTTACCAAAAAGTTAGGCCTCGACCTCTTCACTCGAAGTTCTTGTACAATCTTTTTTTGATCTTTTTCAACTATCAATGCACGACTAACCATATCATTATAAATGACGAGCATAAGACATCCACACCATGCTTTTAATTTGGGGAGTGAGTCCTTATAGGAATTGGTCCTTCTTCAACTTTGGGTCCTCGGTAATGAATGGGACAAATCGGCTCATTTGCTCAAACCGATCGACATACTCTATCACGATCATATTTCCTTACCTTAAATCAAGAAACTCCCGCACCTTCTTAGATCTTACATCCGTCGTGAAATATTTAACAAAGAAGATCTCTTTGAAATGTGCCCGAGTTAGGTTAGGTACGTCCAAAGGAACCTTAACCACATCCCATCAAACTCTTACATCTCGAGCCAATATAAACACAACTCCCTTCACTCGATCAAAGTCTCCCATCCCAAGATGTTTAAAAATAACCTCTAGTGGACTTAATCTAATTTTCAGCTACCATACGATCATGGATTCCTACAAACTCCTTCGATTTGACTTTTGAAATTTCTCCATCATGTCGCCTCTCCGATTTTGAGGCCTTTGATCCCTCTATCGTTGTAGAGCCAACGACTGTCTTATGCTCCTCATGTCGTTCTTACTCTTATTGTATCATATCCAAGCATACGTTGCATCAAAGCCTCATTTCCACTCTCTCGCCCGAATGCCACTACCATTTTCAGACCTCGGTATCTCCCATTCTTCTTAGAAGTATCTTATCCTATTATCATTCATTATTAGTTTAAATTCCTAAAACTCTTTCACACAATCCTTATCATAGCATTTAAATTAAAAGAATACTTAGATATCATTTAAACACATCATATATATATATATATATATATTAACTTAGTTCTATACAATACACATATATGAAAAGGAAATCACTTACTTGTTGATGTTGATGCTCGGGCCTCGAACTCATATGTGTCATTATACAACAAACCTTCAATACTTATTTATTCATTTAAAAAAAAATCAATTACTTTATTTCCTAATTAAGCCCACATAATTTATTTTTCTCTAATACCACACTCGTAACGCCCATCAATCGAGACTCCTTACCTGAAGGGTCATGACCGAATAGGTTGATACTAAAACTTATATTCTTTTTATTTTCTTAAGATTAAGTTCCTAATTTAATCTTATTTATATTTAAATATGTCAATTTAAAATATGTCATTAATAATATATAACCATAAGATTTTCTCATTAACATAGTGGAAGCGCTATTCTAAAATTTCATCATTTATAAAACATCTCTCACCATAATTAATCATTCCTAAATAATCTTGTCCCAATACTCATACTCAAATTTCAAATAAAAATTTTTAACTTATAAGTTTAACATCAATAAACTTATTATTTTAAAAATAAATATTTATTTAAAGCATAACCTAATTGTTAAGAACACACAAAGACGAGCATATGAGTCACCGGTTACCGAAAGTAGCATTAACATCCTCAACATTTGCATCATTACCTACACCATAGAACATATGTGAGATACAAATATCCTAATAAGTATAATATACATGATTTTACATTAAAAATTTTTATATATGAATGTCTTTAAAATTCCTTTTCTCATTTGGACCCGCTAGAAGATACTAACACCGGTTAGTAGGGTCTAGCCTCAATAAAAACATGCATAAAAACATTAACCTCATCATTTAATAGTCAAACCTTAACATTTAAACCTCAATGTTTATGCCTCGATAGGCAATCTCAACCTTTAAACCTCAATATGCATTAAAAAAATAACCTCATTCGTTTATTTAAAACATTTTCTTTCAATCAACATGTAAAACATATGTATGGGTATGAATGCACCTCAAGACCATTACATCACATTATATCAATCACCTAAAAACATATAACATTTACGTCCATGGTGTGGGTGAGTTACGCTTACTTGATTCGTTTAAAACCACTATTTATCGTAACCTTTTTCTAAAAATCGAAACCTCGACTTGATTCAAACCTTGAACATACACACCATATAATATAAAAAATTAAATATTATTATTTTATCTCTAATCATTTTATTTTTATTAATTCCTATTCTTTTTTTGTAATTTTTTTAAATTAAAAATCCTAATTAAATCATTAACTCTACTATAATTTATCCAATTCTCTTCTAATTATATTCATATAATCTAATATTATTAAATTTTAACTTAACCTTTTCAATTCTTATTTAAATACACTTAATCATCAAATATTCTAATAAAAATTTAAGATTTTAATACTAAAATATAATTTTTACATAATCAATCCTAAATCATGAAATTCCAAACTCAATTCTACCTAAAATCATATAGATATAAATAATTAAATATTTTTCTTACCTTAGATTCAATCACCAAAACTTGAATCTTCTTTCAAATACCTTTGACTTCCCTTCTTACTTAATTATATTCTTTCTCCCTCTATCTCTCTCTCTTTCTCTCCTTTCGAAATATAAGCTTATGAAATGACTTTCCTAAATGAGGAGAATGACACCCTATATATAGGCATGGAGAGTTGAAACGTTTAGAAATTTTAAGTGTATGAATTAAAAATAATAAAAGACCACTAACTTTCTTCTTTTATGGCCACTAAGTGGCTTTCTTTCATAACCACTTTCTTTTCTTTCATGACCACTAGCCTTCTTCTTTTATGATCACTTTCTTTAATGGCCACTAACTTTTTTTTTTTTTTTTTTTATGGCCACTTTATTTTCTTTCATGGCCATTCATGTCTCCTCTTTAATTTTAATATATGTTTCAAAAATTTTATTCTTCTTTCATAGTCACTAACATTCCTTTTAAAAGCTAGTAAAACTTATTATTATTTTATTAATTATTATTATTACTTTAATCCTTTAATTCCTAATAACTTAGGCTAAGATTATAGGATTAATTCCTATCTATAATACCCAAAAATATATATAGTTTATCCTAAAAATCTATACCTAATCATCACATCATCTAAACACATAAAAATATTAAATTACATACACAAATAAAGCACATATGCACACGTATACACACCATATATTATCATGCAAATTTTTTTAGTATTACAATATTATTCAATTTTAACTCATTTAATTTTAAGTCATTTATTTCATTTGTCCATTTGTGTAAAATTCTTTCAAATTCATTGGTTATATTCATCTTTATCCAATGACATATGATCTACTCGTGGGGCTAACTATTTTACATTGCCTTGCATTAATTCTTTATTCAAATTTTAGGATTTGTGACTTTTGTTTTTCAAGTGGTTATAAGTATAGATAAACTAATAAAACAAACCTCCTCCTCCTTCTTTTAAATAGAGTATTGAAAATGTTTTGGGATGATATTTTTTTTTTAGATTTCCAAAGTATTTTAAGTCTAAAAACTTGGACTCTACCCAAAAAATTAAAAAGTTTTTTACGTATATAGGGATTCGAATTCAAAATCATTTATTTGAACAACTAGAATCTCTTTCACTCGAGTCAACTCTCTTGTATAATAAATTATTTTTAATTTCTAAATTTAAATTTGATTATAACTTGGTTTCTCATGTTTGAAAACCTATAATTTAAATTATTTGCTCATTGTTAACCACTATCTTGTTAAAACACTTTGTATTTTCTCTGTAACTCCACCACTAGGTTTTTCTCTAAGATTTTAAAATTTTTGAAAGGTATAATTAACCTCTGAAACAACTCATGGTACAGCAATGAAGGGACTAAGTTATATAGTTTCAAACATGAAGGGCTAAATTATAATCAAGTTAAGGAATCAATGACTGAAGAATAATTTACTTAATATTTTCCCTTGTTTTTTGTTGCGAAGTTTCCAAATTTATGCTCTTCCCTCGAATACGGTATCTATGAGCTAGTACCACATTTGAATGAGACAACCTTGAATTGTTTGTATTGGCTTTAAGAGACGGATGTCCGGATTAAATGCATGTCTTGGCCCTTCGGTTGGTGGCATCATCATCACTACCAAATTTGTGGTCCATGGAGCGGAAAGAATAGAAATTTTCTACCAAATAATTATAGGCATTAAAAGTTTTTTTTCCCCGAATATTTAACTATATTTTTTTGGGCGTCAAAATTTTTTTTTTTTTTGAGAATCTATATTTTTATTTATATATTGTCTAAAATATTTGTTTGATTAAAATTTTAAGTTATATACTTTTCTAAAATATTTTTTTATTAAAGTTTATTTTGTAAAATATTGTCTAAATACAATTTTAAAAAAATATGAACAAAAAATATTGATATAATATAACATTTAATAATCATTTTAATCTTGAAATACATTAAGAACAAACATTTTGACATTTAAATATATACTTGAAATTATTTTGCGGATGTATTTTATCTTACATGTCGTTACTTAGAATGCATTAAAAGAAAAAACATTTTGACATTTAAATTATTTAAATGTCAAAATATTTTTTTAATTTATTTTTGGAGCTGGTTGGCAAAATAGTGTGACGTTTACATTTAATAAATGTAGGAGCAATGAGTTAACATGGTTTAACATAATCAATTTATTAGAAAATTTTAGAAAATTCACACACTTAAATAAAAAAATAAAAATAAAAAGTTAGTATACAAAAAATATAATTAACATTTTTTTTTGTTGGTTCTAAATTATATTAGCTGGTGCAATTATAATTTATAAAGGACAAAAAGGAATCATTGGAGAGCATGTAGCTTTTGTTAGGTTTAATTAGAACTCGATGTTGCTCGGCAACAATCGATTACGTGTTGATGCTTAAAAAAATCAGTATAATTTTCAGCTACTGCCTACCAAGCATGGCCTCCCCTCTGCTTCTCGATCCCACCCTCCCTATATGGATAATTGGTTACGCCTTCCTCAACAAACCCCTTCTCCACTTTCCCTCCCCTCCAAATCTCACTATATATTATTATATGTCAACCCTGCCTCAATATACTAATCTAGCTTTTGCTATTTCATCAAAAATCATCTTTTATATATATATATATATATATATATATATATGAGTTATTTTTTGTTTTCGTCAATTTATTAAAAAAAAACCCTTCTCTATTATTATTTCAATTAATTGAATACATGCATTATTTATTTCATTTAATTGAATAAACTTTATTTATTTCAGTTCACTCACACAAAAAGATTGAAGTAGGTGATGGTATTACCACAAATGAAAAGAAAGTTAGTAATAATGATTCAGATAACAGAGAAGAGTATAAAAATAAATTTTTATTTTTAAAATATTGCATTTAATTGCTAACATTTGAGAACACACGTGGTTAATTGGTTAGATTAATAACAGAGTGATTTTTTTTTAACAAATTAGTAAAAAATATATGATGAAATCAGTGGATTTTTATTACATGTTAATTCCTTAATTATATTTTTGAGATAGTTTTCAGCAGCAATTAGGAAAATGTCGGGGTCCTTGGACAAAACTGGGGTTGAAAATTCTCTTTGAGCTTCGGATCTGACATCCCATGATCTATTTGGCTGTCTAGGCGTTAAATCAATGGAGACTGCCAAAATTGCTTAACACTTGATTATTGGAAAGAAAAAAACAAAACAAATAGTCCATAAATTGGTAGAGCATATAGAGAGTAAATTATATAATTCAGTCCTTTAATTTTTTAGAAACAAATTAATTAGTTTTTCTTGTTTTAAAAATTAGTTTTTATAATTTTTAAATTTTCTTGTAACTTATTTTTAAATTTTCTTGTAACTTAATTTTTTTTGTTCTAATAAATAAATAAATAATATGGAAAAAATGATGAAAAAATAACATTTTTTAAAATAAAATAATATTCAATTAAGTAAGATCAATAATAATTAAGGGATAAAATAATAATTATTATTATTTAAAAAAACTAATTAATTCGTTTTTAGGAAATAGAGGAACTAATTTAGGATTTACTCAGCGTTGATGTTAATTAGTTAAGTGCGCTTAGCTTTCAGCTACGAGTGAATCTTTCTCAGAAAGTAAGTGATTAAAATATTCTAAACTTTCGTGCCAATTTTATAAATTTCAGTACTCGAGATAGAAGGACGGCGATATACATGTGCAAACTCGGACGGTTTCCCGCGAATAATGCTCTGCTTTCTTGCCGTTGTTTACCGCAACAACGTGCGTTGCTCGTTCGCTTTTGCCAAAAGCCTATAAACAACATTTCGAGTTAATTATATTTTTAATTTATCAACTGGTCAAACTTTTTTTAATAAAACAAGTTATAATTTTTTTTCTAATAAAGTGTTTTTCGTTAATTTTATGCTGACGTAACCGTTAACTGCATGCACAGCATCAACGTCATTGTCAATTTTTTTCATATAAACTTGACATTTTTTTATTAGAGTATAAATTTTGATTTTAGTTATTTGAATATACTAATTTTTTTTTCTAATTAAATGATTTCATTAACTCTTGGTTGACGTATATTTTAATTGCACACAAAAAATCATTACATGAGTCCATTGTCAAGACACGTGATACTTTAAAAAATAAAAAGACACGATTCATTCTCATTCTCAAATAATAATCATAAAAGAAAATAGAGTTTTAATTAAGAATGAAAATGTTTCACAGATGAGGAAATTGAAAGTGAGTTTTAATTTTTAGCAAACGATGACTTGAATATAGGTGGGATAAAGTGAATTGATTAGAAAAGTTTTTTTTTTTTTTTGGTTTAATTTTATATATTTATTGGCTGATCTATTTTTATTTTTCTAGTAGCAATTTTTTGGATACAAATATTTGATAATTGAGCCTATATCACGGTTCTATATGTATAATTAATAAAGACATCAATCCTAAATTAGCGGAACCACTCAAGTAGAAAAAAATTACATGTTGGTATACTCAAATAACAAATATCAAAGTTTACATATTTAAATAGGAAAAAAAAAGAGAGATAAGTTTCTACAAAAAAAAAAAAATTGATAGTAGGGCCATATTAGTGCCACATGTATAGTTAACGGCTATATTAGTATAAACTTAATGAAAGCATTTAATTAAAAAAAATTATAACTTGGTTTACTCAAATAAGAAAGATTAAAAAGTATACACACTTAATTAGAAAAAAAAATTGATAAGTTGGTAAACTAATCATGGGGAAAAAAATCTAACTTTTGAAAAAATTGTAAAACCTTTAATCGTATAGCAAGACTCATTTTTTTTTTTTAATTAGACGAGATTTATATAAAACAAAATTGAGGTTGAGAACAATATTAATATAAATGACTTTTATGGTGACTAGTTGAAACAACAAAAACAAAATTGTCTTTTATATATGATATATTTTGTAATTTTTTTATTGTAGATTACATATAAACTATTGTACCCCAAAATAAAATATCAAAGTCATGTATTTAATTATTTTTACATCATACAATAATATATTTTTTGACAAGATCGCTAACCTTGTTTAATGATGTGCATGGAGGTTTTTTCTTTGACTGGTGTAATGGATGGATTAGACGGTGGATCATGTGCTAACTAGTTGTGATGTCTGCAAAATAATTTATTTTTTAGTTTCTAGGAGGATCATCTAATAGCTAAATCAATATTTTGAGAGAAACAATGACCTAAATATGCTTGTACGTTGATAGAACTCATTTTAGAAGAGTTTGATAGCTTATAATTATTATTGATCATATGTAGTTATTCTTAATTTTCTATTCTTATCAGATAAATATTTAGTTTGTTATTTTCTATTAGCGAGATTAAAATCAATTGTCTGATTTTGAATAGGAAAAATCATTCAATTTATTTTTTAAAAGCAGTTTAAAACAATTATAATTATATTTGCAATTAAGTGGATACTTGTGTTATCGAATGTTAAATTGAAATCAATAGTGGTTGCAATTGAGCAAAAACGTTGTAGAGTGTACCATCCTCGCTCTATGATCTTAAAAGGTCGAGAATAAATAGAACCTTTTATCCTTGGCTACCACGTGCGTGCAAGAAACGCCCCAATGGACCAATTTCATAGATATTATAGTGGGGCCCAAAAGTTCAAATCCAACGGCTTAGATATAAGGAGAAGCTGCATCTGAAGAACATAACTGAAGGTTTAGAAGAGAGTAGAGCCCAGTTGCACTTAACGGATGAATTAGGTGGAAAAGTCATATTTCATGCACGCGACACGCTGAGGTCCAAAGTCAAAATGCACTTTCTCGTTAATGGAAGTTATTACGATACTATTATTTTATTAATAAGGATTATTCACCATTTATTTTTTGGTATTTATGGAAAAACCCCATCCTTGATTCCCATACCTCAACCACACCCCTTCCCTTGAAACAATTTCTTAGCGTGTGTTTGGCAATATGGTATTGGTGTTTTTGCATAGGTACCTTTGAACATATATATATATATATATATATATATATATATATGTGTACGTGTGGATGCGCGTATACGTAAATATTTTTTATAATTTGACATCAACATGTTTTAAAATTATTATTATTTTTTTAGTGATTTTGAAATAAAAAAAATAGTCTTTTACGTTATGAAAATAGTCTTAAAACTGATTTACATATGTATAGTATTTACTTGTAATTGAATTTCAGAAAAGAGTTTTTTTGCTGGTTGTAAAATTTCAAAAATTTTAATTTGTTGAAATATTTTATTTATAACAAACAAAATATGATCAATCCATTGGTATTAAATACGATGTGGAGCATGGTGGTATGATCATCATTATTTTTTTTTTATATATTATTAACTTATTTTTTCATTTAACAATAAAAGTATCATCGAAACATGATTAAAAAGTTTTCAAATAAATTTAAGAACACACCTCCAATTTCAATTTGGTGCATTCAGAGGAATAATTTCTTTAAATACTGGTTTTAATGTTAAAACTCAAGAAACCAAGGGAATGAATAAAATTTCTTGACTATTAGATCATCCTGTTGAGTTTGCAATCTAAAATTGGGAAAGTTGTTCAGTAATAAGAAAATACTTGAAACACTAGTGAATTTAAAAAAGAAAATTTTCAACATCCGCCCAAGCTGTCTTTTCTCTCCTCTCCTCTAATGAATTTAAAAAACACTAGCACTGCGTCTCCTTCAGCTCGTGTGTAACTCCCCTTTCTCTTTTCTTGCATTTCTCTCTTCTATTTTTAGCAATTCTCTTTTTCTCTCCCATCCTCTGCTTACCCCGAAAACAAAAGAGAAAAGAAAACTCTCTCCCTCTCCTCTCCTTCTCTCTCATTGCAGAACCAAAACAAAAAGGTACCAAAATCTGTAGTAACGATTTATTTATTTCTTTTTTATAAATTCCGCATTTAATTTCTTTCTATTTGAATTCAAAATCATGACATCATTTTCCATATCGGTTACGCATTTTCATTTAATATAATATATATATATATATATATATATATATATATATATATATATTTTTTTTTTCACATTTTTGAATAAGCATAAATACAGCCGTACGTTGAGTTATTAAATTCTTGATTAATTTTGGTTTACTACTTTACAGGTTTTGCTGATTCTGTTGTGCTGCATTATAAATTTTCAACGTTCAAGAAAGAAGGAAAGGTTGAAAATAGAAATCATTTTTGGCAGTATTAATTATTTATGGAGAATTAATTATGTAGAATGGTGATGATGCTGGAGGAGTGGGATTTAGAGTCTTAACACAGAAATTCACAAGAATATAAGTGCAAAAAAAAAAAAAAAATGGTTGATTATTATTAAAAAAAAAAAAAAAGGGGAAAGAAAATGGGTACAAAAGGAGATGGCGAATCACAAGAAATCCGCCCGCACTCACCCTATTCGGTGTTGCAGCATTTGTCAGAGGAGGCATTTAGAGTGGCTGGTGAGGCACTGCATAGTGTCTACTCGGGAACTGGTCCTGCTCCTGGTTCTCAGTCAATGCAGCAGCATAGGCGCAGCCAGAGTGAAATTTTCACGGCTGGGGCTGGGAATGTACGTAGCAGTAGCTTTCGTAAATTGAAAACTCAGATGCAAAGGGCTTGGCGTTGGGGTGGTAATTCGAGGGAACAAGGTTACTTGCCGAGTTTTAATCCTGAGGTCTTGGCAAACCAGAAACGCCAGTGGTATCAGCTTAATTCTAAATCTCTGGTACTAAACAATCATTATAATGCGTTTGATTATACGGATTCAATGAGATTTACGCATTTGCTTTTCGTTATCTTTAGTGAATTATGCGTGCTTATGTTGTAGAGTCATACGAAATATAAGGAGCCCACATCACTATTTGAACACTTCCTTGTTGCGGGGCTTCATCCTGATACCAATCTTGAGGCAGTGGAGGATGCATTTGCAAGAAAGAAGAAGTGGGAGTCGGATATGGAAAATTCTGACTTGCGGGACTTCAACTCCCTGCAGCGTCGGGCTCCTTCATTTCCAGCATTGGAACCTCAGGTTAGCCGCATGAATAATTTGAACTTCTTTTGGCATGGGCTGGTGTTTCATACTTGAACCCATAAGAGCTCTTCTCATTATGCTTCCTAATGCAATTGATCCACACATCATCCACACAATTGATCCATGCAAATCCAATGCAACAGAATTTGTTTATCAAAACATCTAATGCCATTTCCCCTGTCTGATTCAGACAACAGATGTAATGAACTTATCAGAAGAAAGAAATCCCAAGACAATCATGAATGATTCATTAATTCTTACAATCATAATCACACATCCCATATTTCCATTGGTTCTACTTAGTTCGTTTGCCTTTGATATTCAATCCATAGGTGTCTCTTAGTCTACGTCTCCTCTTGTGTTAAAAGATAAGGATACAGATTTTAAAGAACAATGTTAAAGCCGCATACTAATCATACAATGCAGCTGCATCATGTTGCAACCCCAATTCATCTAAATGGGACGTGTGGCAAAGAGAATTGGAAGTGAAAATTCTGTTGCATCAGATTTGATATTGCAATAGATTGATAGTAGATGGGTTTTTTAATGCATACTGGTCCAACTACAATAGTCATTTTGTTGCCGTGATTTTTTTTAGTTTTTTAGTTATCCTTTCGCTTTTATAATGGTCTCCATGATGGTGATTTTATATATTTATTTGATTAACTTTGATACGCTTTGTATAGGTTGACATTAAAACTAGTTTCTTTTGCTGCAGATACTATTTAAATATCCTCCTGGGAAGAGATTAGCTGTGCGTTCGAAGGATTTAGCTGCCTTCTGTTTTCCTGGAGGTGTTAAGGTTTGGCGTCACATAGATCTACGTGAAATAAGCTTGGTCCCTGTGTTGTTTAATCTACATTGCTCTTCAGTTCATGATTATTATAAGTTACTGTACGGACTACTTGCCATGTATTCCTCATTCATATGAAGTTAGAGCATTTGCTTTATAAAGTATAGCATTTGCTTTATCATTCTCTTGTAAGTTGTTACTGTATGATGTCATGGCTTTGCATTACAAAAATAGACGAAAATGTTGTTAGATGAGTTCAACTATTTATTGATCAATTTCATTGTAGGTGGAATGTTATAAGTTACTGTGCAGACTACATGCCATGTATTCCTCATTCATACGAAGTTATAACATTTACTTTCTCATTCTTCTGTACATCATTGTTGTTTGATGCCATGGCGTTGCATCCAACAATCGATGAAAATGCTGTCAGACAAGTTCAACTATCATTGATCATGTTCTTTGTATATAGAATATTAGATCTTCCACTGTCTAAGAGTGTGTTTGGATTGTTGTGGATTTGGGCAAAGGAAGGTTTTGAGCTAACAATTAGGTTTATAATTCCAAATGGGTGTCTGGCAACCTCTAGAAAACCATCACTTTAGAGCCCCGAGGCAGAACATGGTTTTTGGAAAGTGTCTATTTATCTCGACTAGCACAGTTTCTTAAACAGCTTAATTTTCCTCAATGTTTGTTGGTCTGTCACCTATAATTCAAAGATCCTCAGTTTTTATTTATGACTAACTTTATTATGCAGTCATAATAGATTTCTTGGGCATCTTGTTCTTTTTAATTGGCTTCCTCATTTCTGTTGGATTTTCTTGGTGCAGACGCGGTTGTTGGAGAGGACTCCATCATTAAGTGAACTAAATGAACTTGTTTATGGACAGGTATGCCAGACTAGCATATCTCACTTTGGTTTCCTATGATTTGAAAAATAGCCATCCATCCTCTGTCTGATTGCAAATGCTCTTGTTTTTAGGATTGAGTGCATTGCTAATATTATTATAGAATATCTTTCCTCTAGGTTCTGTGAAAATGACAAGACTATTCATCTTCATCTTTTTCCTCATCTTCCCCTTTTCTCATCCTTTTTCTGTTTTTCTGGACTAATGAACAGAGTCACGTTAGCTATAAGTAGATGAGAGTTTTATAAATAGCACACAAGTAAAACAAACTAACAGTTGCTGACATGATTTTTTCTTAGCAAGCATCAAATTGTTTACCTTGCATGTCTTACTGTTTTCAAGCCTACTTACTGCAACCTGTCTGCATTGTTCTCTTTGCTTCAAGAAATCATCATAGCTTTTGTGGTTTCGGAGTTACACTATCCTATTAAAACTATATTCGGATTAGCATAATTTAGCAGAGGCTGTGATTCCTAGATAGCACCATCTGGGCCCTGGAATTTGCTGAATCCATGTCAATTTTGTCAACAAAAGCTACATTTTACTTCTTGTTTATTTACTATACTCACCCATTGGCTAGCACCACTATGTTTGCTACATGGTCTTTATCCAAGATCATGATTATTGGACCTTTTACAGAGGTGAAACTCAACCCAGTCACTAGAAACTGACTTGACAACTCCACTAGGAATGGGATTGAGGCTTTGTTGCTGTCGTCATTGTTGTTCAGAAGTTATAATTTCCTCATAGTTTCCTCTGCTAGAGAATCCTCTCTTCAACCATGCACACTTGCAAGGTTGAAGTTGCCGAGATAAACAGCATCGGTGATTTGATATCAATTTGTTCCCTCGATTATATTTACTACTATGATTTCCTTCATCTGCACTCTTGCTGTGTATTGAATATATGCTCTTACTCAATTCTAACTTTTTAAACAGTTAAATTGTCAAGATGCAGCACCATAGCAATGAACACAGAAGTGTAGAATATTTAAGATACCTCACATGCTTTCAACATCCTTTGCTATGGATTTCTAGTTACTCAAAAACTATTAGAAGCTCCTAAACATTCTTCCGAGTTGATTCTTCTTGATGCAAGTGTTTTCATTGACATTGGTCTTAGAAGTTTCTCTCTTCTTCATCTCTCTTATTATTTTAGTCGAGACATCTTTCTACATATGTACTCAATACCACACTTTTTAATATGGTAACAAAATGTTCACTCTCCTGGCACCCAATTGGCAAAGAATTACATAGTTTGTCTTTTGACAGATACTGCCTATGTTCAAGCTGAATGAAACTGGATTTATTCGGAAAAAGGCTAGGCATTCAGAATAAAATTAATTTTTCAAGTAATCTCCATGTAGAGTTGTTGCTAGTTAATGCTTATGTTATGCGCTATCCCTGATATTTGCTAGTAGTTATGCATGTCCATCTCAAACTTCTATAACCTTATGGTCAAGATGCAATATTATTCCTTTCATTTTCTTTTTTTGCAGGAGCATTTGGGCAGGGATGATTCATCGTTCATATTTTCTCTTAAGGTAAGCTTTTCCTTTTTTGTTCTTCATCTTGTTTGTATATCCCAGATGCCTTTTCTGGCCATTGCAAATTCTAGCTGGTAGCTGCCTACCACTCCCTTTATGGAGGTTTAAGTCATGCATTCTCCATATCCCAAGCTAACAAACTATCAATAAGAAAATCAAATATGGTACCCGTGGTTTCAGGGAACAATAATTAGTCTCTCTGGTTCCAAAATTTACTAATTTATTATCCCTTGACTAACAGATTTGTTATATTTTTTTTTCCTAAAATCCCCAAACTAACCTCATTTCTTTGACCTCCCAGCTTGTTAGACTCATACCCATCTCTCTCTCTCTCTCTAAGAAAATTGATCCTAGGTTGATTTTGACTTCTAAAACAATAGCGACCTTGTCCGCCGTGTAATCAATTGGTTTTGGTAATTTTTTATGAAGAGATCTTTTTGGGTTTGCATTTTGGTAGTTCTAAAATCAGAACCAGTGATTTAGGTTTGACATAAATTAGAGTTTCTCTTTGATTGAGTTTGATCACCGAAGTTTACAACACTCATGGCTGAGTGTGGTGGCTTTGTTCGGGTTGATTAGATTTTAGTTTTTGTACTTTGTTTTGTTTTGTTTACGTTGGTGTTGTGTTTGTTGTGCATTCTTAAGCGGGTAAGAACAGAAATTTAATGGGAAGATTTAAGAGAGGGCATTTTGTATTTAAAAACCAATAAATTTGCGAGTCAGCACCAAAGTTAATTATAACTTAGTCTTTATGTTTAACAAAAGAATTAATTAATCTTCAAAGTTTCAAAAACTATTTATGCAGTCCTTATGTTTTTCAATTGACTTATCACTTAGCCCTCCATAGACCAAGTAATTGGGCTCGGTTGTCTCGGGTTTGTATTGCTTTGGATTCGGGTAGGATTTGCGTTTGGGTTGACTCTAACCCTAACTCGTTAATAGCTCAGTCCTTGTCTATTGGACGGGTTTGGAACTGGTCCACATTTGCCATCTCTTTCTATACCACGCTGTTTTCCAATTTATTTTGTTTTCTTCTTTTTTAGAAAAGGAAAAGTAAAGTAGGTAAGATGGGAAGATTTGACCAGAAAAAGACATTTTTGGAGGAAAAAACGATCAATATTGATTCAGGGACTATTTAATTATTTCTAATACTAAAGGGGCTAATTAATTACTTTCAATAAAAAAAGGGATTGAGTAACTAATTAACTCCTCGGTACCACAGTAACGTAAAACTCAGTATAATTTAGTTATTGACGGACTATAAGAATACAAGGATTGGGTAATAATTTTTGAAACTAGCAGGAGTAAAGTATTTGTTTCTTCAAAAGACAAGGACTGAAGTATAATTTACTCCTGTTTCTTTCATGAATAACATCCACGGGTTTGGATCTTCATATATCGTGATTTGACTTAAGTGAAACTTGTTGTATGTAAGAGATTAATTCTTTGAAAAGCCGTTTTCTATGCATCTATCCCCTGTTCCTTGTTTACTTTGTACTTATAAATGCTTGACCAAAATGTGACGTGGCTTTGCAATTACTTGGTTATGGATGAATGCTGGTGCATTCTATCTGCTTTGAAACTATCCTTTTTGACTTCTAACTTTAGGGCCACGGATGAACTTCCATTTATTTGTAACTGTGCGTCCACGTGTGTGCAGTGGCAAGGCTGTAACTAACGTTATTAGTTACTGCTGCTTGAATGAGGTCTTAAATTGGCTAGGTTTGTCTTTCAGGCTTTTTATCTCTCTCTCATGACTGATGATTGCATTCATTCTTTTGAAGTGGTTTCTGCTTTTGTGCTATTCATTTTTTCTCACTAAGAGAACCATAATCACTACATGAATCTGACTTTCCAAGTAGAATTGTTCCTGCTATCCAAAAATGTAGAATTGCTCATTTATCTGTTGAAAAACACCTTTGGCACTACAAATGTGTTAATGATCTCCATGTTTTTTTGTATGACTTTCATTTAAATGTTTGGAGTTGAAAAAATAGATCCACTGTTGATGTTGGCCGGAGATTGAATTGTCTTCTAGATTTGTTTGGTTGTTTTTCATGGGGTTCTTTGTACAAGGAGTGGTTGGATTTTTAAAATGCCCTTTTGTTCCCTTGATCAGGTGGCAGACAATGATACACTTTATGGGGTTTGCTTGCATGTTACAGAAATCGTTCAAAGGCCACCCGGTATCTTAGGCAGCCAGTCGCCCATTTCTCAATCATCTGGTCGATGCTGCCGTTTTCTGGTTTCTGCACCTCGCTGCTACTGTGTGCTCACGAGAGTTCCTTTCTTCGAGTTACACTATGAGATGTTGAACAGGTTAATATTAATTTCATAAAAGAATTAGTTGTCTCTGAATTCTAGTGAGACGCTTAAAATATAATGTTTTCCACATAGGTCAGTTACTTCGGTACAATTCACTACATTTACTTACATGGATGCAGTATCATTGCACAGGAGCGTTTGAATCGGATAACAGAGTTTGTTAGTGAAATATCACTCACTGCTTGCATGCCTTCAGTATCTAAACAGCATGGGCAAATGAATGAGAATGTTGACTGTCTTGATACAGAGTATGATTGGATGGCTTCTGCCATACCTGTTGACAGTGCAGTAGCCCTTACTGCTGCTGCTGCTGGAATTATATCTGATGATGTGATTCCAACCTTATCACCGAAGAGTTGTGAACCTCATTCTCCTGAAAGTATTACTGCTCGCGAGGCTTCAGATTTCAGGCAAGCAAGGGATGCAGATAAGAATGGTAGGAAGTATTTTCAATATTTTGATGATTATGCTTCTCTGTCTCCAGACAGCCGTTGTGATTCTTTAGAAAGAATGTACGGAGGTGATGAAAACGGTCATGTTTCTCCAGCACTTGGGATGTTTTCCTGCTCTAAAAGCCACAGATTAGAGCGTCTTGGAAGTTTTGATACCTTATTTAGGTAGTAGTTACAATTATTACATTTTAACTGTGTTGTGAGTTCTCTATATGTCTCAACTCCATTAAGTCATGCCAATCTAGAGGTGCAATAGTGATTTATTTTTATCTTTGGCAGTCCAGTTAGAAGCATGGCATCAGAGGACGAGGATGATGAACTTTTCTCAGATCATGAAAAAGATTTTGGAGATGAGTTGATATTGGAATGGGCTAAGGTTAGTTTGTGATTGTTCCTGTTGTTTATGTTTATTCACCCATGTGATATACTGAGTTCCATGCCATCATTTTGTTTTGGACACTATCTATTGGATCTTCGGTAGGAAAACAAAAATGATTTGCTACAGATACTTTGTGGTTATCATGCAATGCCTCTTCCCCAACGAGGAAGTGGGATAGTTTTTCAGCCTCTTGAGCATTTACAAGCTATTGAGTATAAGCGGCCTCCAACCTCTGACTTTGGATTTTGTGATAGTTATCTAGCTTCATTTGAAGCAGCAGAGGTATTTCCTAGCTTATTGATGGTCATTAGACTATGTTTCTAGATAAATAGTTGAATATGCTTGCTTGATTTTCTATTCTTGGTATTTGATAAAAGGTCAATGCAAAGTTAGCTGCTGCTGAGGAAGCTCTTGCACTGTCAATATGGACAACAGCAACCATATGTCGGTTTCTGTCACTGGAAAATGTAAAGTTCCTACCATACAAAGTTTTATTGGCTTGAATTCAGCAATGTTTATTTTTTTAATATTTTTTTTAACTGTCCGCTTCACCACTTGTAAGATCCTTAATTAAGTTCTGTTATTTCTAATCAATTCCTTTGATGCTACATAGTTGTGGAAAAGGGCTGTTGTGTAGTACAGGAGGTGGAGTTTTGGTCTTGTAGATTCAGGCTAGGACTGTCAATTGGGAATTTCTTTTTCGGGGCCCTGCTAACTATGGTCTTTAGTTTTCAGGATCATTATTTTCTTTCAGAAAAAAGAGAAAATTATTATGAACAAGAACCGTAAGAAACTAGGAGACTGTTAGAAAACCATTTCAAGTGTAACACTTCATTGTAGTTAGAAATCTTATTGTAACGAGTGTGCAGAACCTGTATAGAAGAATTTTCCAAATACTTGAAGGAATTAGATTGGAGGGCCAATATGATATGATTTAGATATCGCACCATCAGAGACATAATTAATTTCTAGATATGGGATTTATGTCCAATGTATCTGATCCATTATTGGTTTTATTAATTTCATGTTTGAACTAGGACTAAGTGGAGAGGGAGAGATTATTTAGCGCAATAGAATGTAAGTTCAACTGCTCAATGGAATGTGGAGTAGGATTATGGGTTTTTTAGTTTATTGGGATTGTTTATTTGTGAACTCTCTGACAAGTAAAGCTTAGGAATTTGCACCTAAAGGAAACATTTTTCTTTTCTTGAAGTTTTTAACACCACATGGTAGGGAGCCAAAGTTGATGCTATAATGCCCAATCATGAATGTGTAAATAGTTGAGAGTTGGTGCTAGTTCCCTGATGCAATATCTAGCACTACCTTTCAATAGAGGTTATGACTGGAGTTCTGGTCAAACATTTGTCGTGACGTGAATATGCATAAACAGTTCGTTGATTTTCAATACTTTCATTACTATTAAAATCCAATACAGCATTTCAGGCACTCCTTCCATTTGTTCCATGTTTGCTTTTCAGATAGGCGGTTATAAGTCTGATACATACTTCTCCTTCCAGGTTTTGGCACTGGTTGCAGGAGTATTACTGGAAAAACAAGTGGTGGTAGTGTGCCCGAACCTGGTAAGTTAATATTGTTATCAGAGATAATTTTGTCAACCCACAGATGAGTTATTTGTAAAAACGCATGCATTCATATTTATGTAGTATGTACGCATGCCTATTTATCTGAACTCTGGACAATTTTTTATGACAAGGTAGTTTGTTTGAATTGGTTGTTTGTGCTGACTCATGTTCAATTTGCTGCAGGGTGTTCTATCTGCGGTTGTTTTGTCCCTTGTTCCCATGATTCGTCCATTTCAATGGCAGAGTTTATTGCTTCCAGTAAGTTTCGTAATGTTTATGCCTTTGTAGTTTCTGTTTAAGTCAATAGAGAACATTTTGAATTTAGCTAAAATATTGATTTTACCACCACAAATCCTAGATCGCTCCTCCTATAAGTATCTTTGACAGTTCAGGTAAATGAATGAGATATAATGAAAGAACAATGGATAATTAACCCTTTTAAAAATCCTGATATACATGCCAAAATGAACTGTTAAAAAGGTAGGAGTATTACTTCAAAGGTCTAAGCTGTTAAGTGTAAATACTTCAAAAGACACAGAAAACATTTGAGTCTCCGAATAGACATCAAGCTTAACTGGTGAGTTGGAATACTACATCAGATAAGTGGGGTGGTGGTCTGTTGAGGATATGAAGTTGTGTTGTGATGCAGTAGCTTTTTGGTTTTGGTCAAAATGGATACTGGACCTCTTCTTCCTTTTTTTTTTTTTTTTTTTAAAAAAAGTTTTGGTTTAGTAGAAATTGAATTTTTATATTCTTGACTTACGCTTCTAATAGATACTAACGGATCTGGCATGACTTGTTTTTGGCTAAATTTTATATTTATCTTTGGCAGATCCTGCCAGGGCAGATGCTTGATTTTCTTGATGCTCCTGTTCCCTTTATTGTGAGTTTCAGATATTAATCCCCCTCCCCCTCTTTTATTTTTTAAAGACAGTTATCTTGCCATTGTAAATGTCTGCGTTTTGTGGTGCTTCCTTTTATTTGTACTGTGCTCTAATATTTGATTTATCTGCGGAAACTAGGGTCAGGTTGTCTAGTCATTTCTGTGATCATATATCAAATGGGCAAGTAATCTTTTAAGGGATTAGAGATGATGGAAGAGAAGTGAAATTTTAACCTTGATTGTACTTTATAAAGATAGAGTCTGGTATCAAATGGTGGCTGAAAGTTCTATTTTTGGCCAAGCGTTGAGCTGGTGCCAAAACCATCCGAAGGGAGTTTTCATCTTCAGAAAAACCCAATTCTGAAGCATATAACAGCATCTTTGTCAGTTTGTAGTTGATGAGCTCAGAGACTTAGAATTACTGGGAATCAAATACCTATCAATCTGACAAAATGTCCTTGACCATTAATTGGGTTGTTTTATGCCCTAGTTTACTGGGAGCTGTTAAACAAGGGGTTCAGTCAAAGGAAGAAGTCTGGAAACAAAGTAGGATTGATCAGGTGCTGTGACAAGACCTATAGCAACTTCCTTTTTTGGAGCTGTTGATTGGCCTGCATGAATCTAGGTGTGATGAGCTTGGAATAGTTTATGTTATGACTTCAGATGGCTCACGCAAAGAGGATTTTTTCCCCATCTTTCATCCATTAGGTGCATGCAAAATTACACGGTTTTGGAGATAATGCGTGTAAGAAAGATGAAATGATGTTCTAGCATGGACAAGCCTGGCTTGGGATGAGGTTCAATCTATCATGAGGCTGAAACTCAAGATTAACATTTTTGCTCGTCTCTTCGTGTATAAATTTGTCGAGGTTGTTGAAGACTTCTTTTATGAGCCTTACTGAACCTCCTAGTCAAGTTCAAATCTTCCACTAAGATTGAGAAAAGCTCATTGCAAAGTGAGTAAGACCATGATTCACTTTTCCAGTAGAGGTCGATGGTTAAACAGGAGAATGTATACCCGACAATGGAGACGTCCTTAAAAAATGACCATAGTAGTATATATAAATTCAGCACTGGGAGGTGGGTTTTTTGCTCCAGATTTTTTGAGGGATTAGCTTAGTAGGTACATGTTCTCAACAATTCTGCCTTGATCATCATTATCTTAGATATATTTATAAGAGTTTATGACCTCTCCTGTACGTTTTGGTCTTGTTTTCTTATTGACATTTGAAGTAATTTTCAAAAGTATATCACATAATTTTTGATGTAAAGTGTATTAACTCTCTTGACGTCAAACTGTTTGTTTCAAACTCTTGGAAACATGCTTTATTTAATCTTTTGTGGTATTGATTTGAGTTAATCAGTCAAATAAAATAGTATATTGGAGGTTAGTTACATGAAGAAATTTATGCCATCAAGATGTTGAGCTAAATTAACCAGAATGCTGTTAGAAATTTGTATCAAATGTTTTAATACAGCCTTTTTTTCTCTTACAGGTTGGTATAGAGAACAAACCTGCTGACTTGAAGATAAAAACCTCTAACCTTGTCCATGTTAATGTGCTCAAAAACCAGGTTTGTAAGGTTTTTGGATCATTCCCTTTACATGCAAAACTTTTAATCAAACTCTTATTGCTGATTATCCCTTAAAACTTTGATTTCTGATAAGTTACTTTAACTTAAAATGTAAAGGAATTGAACATGAGCTCCTTTTCTGATTATTAAAAAAGGTTCATTTTTGCCAGGGATATCATAAGGCTCAGTTCTGTTCTATTCTTCAACAGTTCCATAGCATGCTAATTATCGTCTTATATGAGCTCCTCAAAACTGAGTAGAAGTTTGATATTTCAGTTGTTCTGGCCATAGCATGAAAGCTTTCTCTATTAAAGTTTTTCATATGATTTGAGAGAGTGAACTTCATTAAACATGTTACTTTTCAAGTGCTCTTACTGTTTCCTCTCTCTCCATTGAAGGTTAAAATGTGTCATTTGCCGGCACTCCCACGATATAAAGAGCTTGTTTCTGAACTTCGACCATTCCACAGCAGACTATCATTAGAAAGACCAGTTGCTATTCGGCATCCAGTGTATAGGTGCAATGAAGTGCAGGTATTACTTGTAGCTGGACTCAATTTAAAACTTCTCTTCTTGCATGCCCGTATATCTTATTCCTGGAATCTGAAGTTTCCAAAAAGCATTCTGAGGCATGATGACTTCTGTAAGCAAGTTTATGAGGCCTCTCAATTAATAAAATAACTACATAGGTATAAATCTGAAGGTTGCCTACTCAGAACCAGATATCTAAGGTGTGGAAGGGCAATGATTTGTAAGTTTTAGAGGTTAAAAATAGTATTCCCTTAGTGGAACTGACTGTGTTTGCTCTTTTGTGCTTTTTTTTTGGATCTATTGCAAATTATAGTAAGAATGGTGCAGGGACAGTGTACGTTGCTTCTACACACCATGAAAGGGAAAATTTCATGATCGTTTGCAGCCTTCTTAATTCTAACGATGCCAATAATCTGGATTCTGGAATAAACCTCCTTGTCCATTTCTTTATGGAATAGACTTCCATTACTTTTTTTATTTTCAAAAAAGGCTACCATCTGTACCATTATTTTTGTCATTTTCATCATTATAATCATTACTACTATCATTGTTTCAATCACCATCACACTTATTGGAGTTCCTTTGAATTCGTCAATCCTTTATTGGTTTATTTCTTCTCGTTATGTACTCTTAGGTGGTAGCTGATTATATTTGTTAATTCCAGGCTGAAGCTGCAACACGATTTTTGACTGTCATGAGACGCTACTTGGAATCTCTTTGTTCAGATCTGAGATCTCATACAATAACTAGTGTGCAATCAAACAATGACAGGGTTAGAATGCCTGAAGTCATCATTATATAAAAATTAAGTTCCAAGTATATAGTTATCTGGCATTGATCCTTGGTTTATCTTTTCAGGTTTCTTTACTTCTTAAAGATAGCTTTATTGACTCCTTTACCAGTAGGGACCGATCATTCATTAAGGTAACTTTCATTTTCTTTTAGTCCATTGGTGTTCGTTTTCGTTCATACTTCTCCTAAACTTAATTTCACTATAATGCTGCTCTCCATCTTCTTATTGATCTTAGTCTTTACCTACATTTGCAGTTTATATTTTGATCTGTGAATTGGTTGATCAGACGGCTTTTAATTGCTTTTGCAGCATTTTGTAGACACACAACTATTTGCCGTGTTGTCAGACTCCTGTTTGTCGAGATTTGAGCAACGGAGCTTCTAACTTAATCATTTCCCAAGTCCCAAAACAAATTTTCATGGCGGTAATTAGGATAATCTAAGTAATGCAGGACGGTGGCCTCTGTTGCTGTTGACTGTTATCGACTCTGCAACAAATTATATCAATCACAACAGCTGTTGGAGCCATCAACCGTGACTTGATATGTAGCCGAAAGTTGGAAAAAAAAAAAAAGGAAACTTGTAATATAGAGATATAGCAACATTTCCTCATGATATTTTTTTTGTTATATCAGTTGAGGCTAGACACATGCAATATGATGATGGTTCATGGGGAGTATGATCTTGGGCTTGTTGAAACCCGTATCTCCCTTTGTCAACCATCACACCAACTTCTTGTAAATGTCAATAGCGCAATGAAACATTTTTCTGTTACTTCCATTTAGTAGAGCTGAGTTTTTTTTTCCCCCTCCATTCAATGGGAGACCTAAAGGGACAAAAAAAATGCATCCCTCCATTTCTATATCAGATCGCTGTCCTCTTGGGACCGAAAAAAGAAAAAAACCTTTTGGATAATGCAAGAAATACTTAATTTTTGTACTAATATTATTTTACTAAATCATGTTACATGACATAATCGATGATTGCATCACTGAAAGTTTTTAAAACAACTTAATTCTAGCTGAAGATACCATTCCAATCTTTGCAACTATGATTAGCCTTCGAATGGTGTAACTAAATAGACACTCTTCTGGAAGGACAATTCCTGTGCTGTTTTACATTTATGATGCAAACTTGCTTTTCATTGCGTTATTTAACGATCAACCTTTCATGGGCAAGGAGAAACTATCCAATGCAGCAAAATTTCTCATATTGCGTCGGGAACATAGAAATCTCTCATATTGCTTTGGAAACAGAGATTTAAATAACAATTGTTACAATCATCATATAACAATTTCGAAACACCCCATTACTTGTATTTTACAATGTATAACACCCCATTATTCTTATTCAATGTTATGTAATAACAGACTGTTATTTTACTATTACAATAACCTATAATTCAGGATCATGATCACGATTATTTTTTCAACTACATCTGCAATTTAGAACCATGATTGAAGAAGCAGGGACAAACCCTCATTGGTTCCCATACTATGAATGCAGTTTGTAATGTACTAACAATTACTCAGATATAATGCAGGACGAGGAGCTACTCCATCAATAAGAATGGTCTGAATAACAAGGCCACTTCTACTTCAACTCGGACAAACATCTAATATGGCAAATTATACAAGACTGATTGACATTTGGATCACAGTATTCTCAAGTACAATCCCCTCAACGCAACCATAATCGACTGCCTTGGATTGCATGTCTCCACAAGTACCCAATTCCTAATATTTTGCACCAACGATACAAAAGCTAAAAAAATAGCATAAAGATACAAAAGCTAAAAAAATAGCATAAAGATACATCAACGATGGGATAAGAAAACAGATCCTCAACCGGATTCTGGCCTTCTTTGTCTTTTTTTATGTTGGAAACTCGTAGAAGCCATGAAAATTCTTCTATAGTAATAACTGTCACCAGGTTAATTGATTCACGGAATCACTTCCATGAGTATTATTCATGTTCAGTTCAATTTCAACTGCTGAAATAAAATTCAGGTTGATGTAGAGGCAGAGAGACCTGACCTTGCATGCAAATCAAACGCATTGAAAATCAGTAGCATGACAGGAGTAGCGCAGAGAATTTCATAAGTGAGTAACAAATGAAACACACCATAATACTCGTATCATTTTTCTTCATCCTCAGAATCTGACTTCGCAAAAACTGGGTCAGGCTGGGTTTGCGCATATGCTGGAGCAATATATTTGGGATCTTTTTCTGCAGCATCAGCATACTTCAATATGGCTTCTCGTGGGTCTTCCTCCATCCATGTCTCTTTGATCATTCCCCCTTGCTGTAATGAAATCCACATGTTTCAGTTTTTCCCACTGGCTTCATTAAGAATTAAATAATGAAGAGAAGGGGTTAGAAGGGAAACACAACCTTAAGAAGATATTGGGTCAATAAGCTTCCTTTACTAACACCAACTCTTCCACCAAAACCTGGTCCGGTAATTGGAAGTTCAGGTTTGTGAGACTTGAGGGGATCCTTCAATGTTTTCTCTCGCTGACGCTTTCGGCTTGGCTGATCTCTAAACAAGGGTAGTGCATGAGGGTTGTGAATGACAGGCTGCACCTCAAAATCATCCAAAGATTTTTTCCGAGGAGCACGTGCAACACATACAAGAGCTCCTCTCTCACTGAGGGTTGGGTCATATAATATGTGGGTTCCTCCTCGGCTTTTATCTCCAGCTGTTGCAAAGATCTTTAAACAAACAAAGCAGGCAAGGCTTCAGTTTATATGCGCATGTGTAATAAAAAAAGTGTTACTGAGGGGGCATGGGTATTGCGTAAAATACTTCATTAGATTCTCCTGTGTTTGTTTTGCATAAAAAACAAAAAACAAAAAGAAAAGGAAAGGAAACATACAAGCAATGTATTGGTGCATCCAAGACAACCTTATAAAGACAATAAGAATAAACCAGCATATATCATGGTGTACCTGATTTAGCTTTGGATGCCAAGCACACTGCACAACACTGCAAGTCGGAGAAATACCAACTCTTGAAACAAGTTCAAGTTTTGCCCGATCATAAAAGCACAACATACTTCCCGTTTTGCTCTCCCTTTCGATTGATGTTCCAGTCAAGAAAAGTTGCTCATCAGGACTAAATGCAATATTTGTTTGAGCATAGTTATTTGGAAGATTCTCAAAGACCTGAAGGGCCTCTTTCATTTGCCGCAAATCCCAAACCTAACATATGAAAATATAGATATGACAAAGGATGTGATAAGTATCAAGAATCTACATACATTAGTGAAGAAAGTGAACACACAATATGCTCTAAATGAATGTTTCATCGCTACCTTCAGTGAGCCATCAAAGCTTCTTGAGAGTAGAATTTGTCCATCACTTGAAAATTTGAGGCAAGTGATGTCATCTGTATGACCTTTCTCAACAAAAACATCTGGCCTGCTTCCCCATCCAGGCTTAAGGCTCCATATCTGGGAATACAAATTAAGCAACATGTGTGAAAAAAAAAAAAAAAAAAATCTAAAACAACTGAAGTGAAAGATGATTCGATGAAAAAAAAACAATCACAATTCAGAAGCAAAAACCTGTATAGAACCATCTCCAATGCCGGCAGCAATGCGTTTTCCTTCACGATCCCAAGAACATGTGGTAACTGGAACTCTTCCAGGCCGAGCAAGCTTTGGTTTAATGACCTATTTAAAATGAACAATTGCAATGTTAGTTTACCTTCTTTTAAATATTTCCCAGTTGAATGAGAATAACACTTGCAAATATATCCTAATTAATGTAACCCATAAGCACACTTGGAAGCATTATGAGTCTCTATTGCACATGCAAAAATGCATCGGAGGAGTCACTATAAAAGCTTCATTGACTGTAAAATGACGTGCAACCAAGTTCTCCCAAGATAGAATGGCTGAATCAAACAGATCATAATTTCAAGTAGCAGAATTAAGAAACATGAAAAAACAGCAAACCTGCTTTTGACTTTTGAAATCATTCACATCCCATATACGTAGTGAACCATCCTCTGACGATGTTAGAATTGTCTCCTTGGCTTTAGGATGCCACTCTCCGCAAGTCAATCCAGATATGTGACCCTTAGTATTCTTTAAATCACGAATGTACATATCCCCCTTAACAAACTCACCTAGCGTAAGCCCATCACGGTCATATATCTGAAACAAAACCAAAATGAGTTTTATGTTTTGGTTCGAACCAAATAGTAATAACCAAAGATCCCCATATGAAGAAATAAATAAATAATACCTTTGCTTGAGCAGAACCAGTGACGCATAAAAACCGGTCTGCAGAAGGACTCCAGCTCAAATTACGAACTTGATGACCTTCAGATGGTTCAAGCTGCCTAAATGATTGTAAACGCGAATTCATCCCTTGAAAATCGTACATTCTAACTGAATAGTCATAACTACCTGAAAGTACTCTAGACCCAGTATGATCAACAGCAAGAGCTGAAACAACCTGACAAACAAACAGTCATTCAAATTAAATCTCATTCTCAAACAAGACCAATCAAAAAAAGCAAAATTTCTCCATTTTTTCACCAAAAAAAAAAAAAAAAAAAAAAGAGCAAAACAAAAGAAAACAAAAACAAAATCAAACAAACATTGCCTAAATAACACTTTGCTTAGTAACAATAATTACCTTAGAGTGGCCTTCAAGTACAATCTCATTACTCATTGGAATCCGATACCGATTCTCCTCCTCCTCCTCCTCATCCGAATCCGCCGGTGGTGGCGGACGTGGTGGTCCAATCAGCACACCATCATCATCCTCATCATCCAGCCCCGGCGGAGGCCGCGGTGGTCCCACCATAACTTCCCCATCATCGTCATCGTTATCCACACCCCGAGCTGGTGGTCGAGGAGGTCCAATCGAAACATTGGCGTCGATTGAATCGGAATCAGTAGACGACGGTGGCGGCGGTCCCAGTGAAGTGGTAGGGTTAGAGGAGGATTTAGGTGTGGGGCGGAGAGAGTCGAGCCAGGCTTTAGAAGAGGATGAAAGAGAGGAAAGAGAAGTAGATTGGGTTTCGTGGGAGGAGGTGGTGGTGGGTTTTCGGCGAGTGGTGTTGTGGATTTGTTCGAGAGGTGTTTGAGATTTTGATTGTTTGCCAAATGTTAGAGGGAAATGTGCTCTTACTCCGTCGTATATTTCTGCGTCGTCTTCTTCCATTTCTTTTCTTTGATCCTACAGTAGTGCTTTTTTCGGAGATTCTGTTGTTTTTTTTCCCCCGGCCGGGTATGGCCATCGATTAGTCCAGTCCGCTTGTTAAACGGCGACGTTAAAAAAAAAAAAAAATAAATAAATATATATATATATATATATATATATATATATTTCATTTTACCCTTTGGAGTAATGGGTTTTGTCCATTTTTATCCAAAAGTTCGTTCTCCATCAATTATTTGATTAAATTATAAATTAGTCTACCTAGTTTTGTAAAATAAATTAAATAGCTTTTCTTGTTTCAAAAATTAATTAATTAATTTTTATATTTTTAAATCTATTTTTAATTTAATCATCATCATCATCATCATTATTATTATTATTTGTTTTTGTAGATAAAAAATAAAACATAGGAAAATATAGATAGAAATAGAAGACATTATTTCATAACAAAGTAATATTAAACTAACCATAGTCAATATTAGTTAAATGAATAAATAATTAATTTTTGAAATTAGAGAGAATATTTAATTTATTTTTCAAAAGTAGAGAAATTAATTTATAATTTACTCTTAATTGTCTCATACTTTGATGTTTCATTCTTTTATCAATAAAATCCTTCCATCCTTATGTTACCAAAAGTAATAGAAAATGATATTTTGTTATGCAAACTTCAATTTTCCTTTAAAAAAAAAAACTTTATCAATTAGTTATATATATATATATATATAAAATAATTGCATGATATATATAGCTCATTCAAAGAAAAAAAAGTCAACATGTTATTTTATTTTATTTTATTGGTGGCACGAGATCACTAAAAATAGTTGAGTAAATAGTTGATGGAGAAAGAAAATAGAGTCTCACTTTAAATCATGGAAATTGCTAAAATTGATTTTCGAAAAAAAAAATTGTGTGTATTAGCTCTCACAGAGGAATAATATTGAAAAGTAAAAATAGAGTGAGAAAAAAAAAAAGAAGATAGAGAGACTTTGGGAAAAAAAAATATGTAAATTTGATTTTCATATTAAATTAATTTTTCTTTTTCTTTTTCTTTTTTCATGATATGTAAAAAATTAGTATTGTTTAGCATGTTCAACTTTGTTTTTGTTTTACTAAATAAAATTAAATGAACTGTACATATAAAAAAAAGATTTTACTGATTCAATTTTAAGTGATTTTGGTTTTGTATTTTTTTTTGCTATTTTATAATTTTGTTGATTGAATCTTATTAAAATATTTAGTTAATTTGACTTTAAATTTTTCTTTTTTGAATAAGATTCATATTTATTATATACTTTTTTAATAAGATAAAAAAAAAAACAAAATTTCTTTTCTTTTTCTTTTTCTTTTTTTAATCTAAATTCGCTTCCCTCGTTTTTATGAGAAGATAGTTATGTCAAAACCAAATGAACCTTTAATGATGCTCTTTATGTGAATAGAATCTTCTTCTCTTAGGGAAAATTAGAAGTTAGTCCCTAATCTATTATGAGTTTCACACGTTAGTCACTAGAATAAGCTCAACTTATCATGATTGAGACAAGGTTGGTCCTCAGTTGAATACGTCAAAAACAACTTTAAATATCACGTGAGAAGTAATTGTATAGTCATGTTTTATTTGATGGTCAACACAAAGATTATTTTAGAACGAAAACTAAGCCTCTAATCTTTTGATTTTTTTATTTTAATCCTCCGTACTATCAGGTCAAGACCATACAGCATTGTCGTTAGGTTCTCATTCACATAATGTTAGAGATACTTAATTCTATACTAAAATTGTTTTAATCAATGATGTGATGCCATATAATTAGTTATTTATTAGTTAATCCATTCTATAGTTATTATTGTATTACCAAGTAGAGGTTATCAAACAAGTTTGGTTTTGTAGAAATTTGATTCGGTTTTTAGTTAATCAAATTAAGGAAAATCAAAATCGAAACTAAATCAAAATAAATTCGATAAGTTCGAGTTTGAAATCAAATTATTTTAGTTCAATTTTAACTCGAAATAATTTGCTATATAAAAAAAAAATTGACTCGAAAAGTGGGAACAAGTAATGGAGAAGTTAAAGTTTTTGTGAGGAGAGAGGGAAGATGATGGAGAATGACTTAGAGAAAGCAAAATGCACACTCGTTAATGTCATTGACATATTTATGTAGATAGAAGAGAGAGAAGATTTATGATGATATAATCAATATAAAAGGCATGTTTGGGTGATTGACATATCAAGTAGGAGCATAATAGAAGGGCTTTGAACAAGCTAAGAATCCATCAAAAGAACCAAAAATTCCATACTTCAAATGGTCGGTAGACATCCCGTCCATTGTAGCGAGATGAAAGCACACTTAGAAGCACCACCATATAACAAAATCCCCTAATATCATATCTCTATCTACAACGATAATTGCTTTGTCAAGACATGTCCTTTATATCGACCATCACTACAACCGAGACTTAATTACACTTATCAAAAGCCAAACAAGGAGATAAAACTTTTGCCTTTGAGCACCTAAAATCTGCCCCACCTAAATCAATAGAACAAAGACCCCTAAGTGTAATGGCCGGTACTCGTTAAAATAGGAATTTAATATTAAACCCATGTGAAAAATATTTTGAGGATGAGAAACAATTACTAGAAACTTAAAGAAATATTTAAAATGGTTAAAATAGTTTTTCCATGCTTAAGGAATATTTTATTGATTTTACGATGTATGAATAGTAGTTTTTACATGAAATAATTAATTAACGTATGTTTTTGCACATGAAAAACATTTTGTTTGCTTAGAATAATTTTTATAGGGGTGTTGGGTTATTTTATATGATTTTTTGAATTTTTCTATGTATTGTGAGTATTTTATTGAGTTTCCATGTGTAAGAATAATGTTTCTAGAGATAAAGAATTAAATTAAGTGTCTTAGGAGCATGAGGAATTGTTTTTTAAAGGCATAGAAAAATCATATGTAATGTGTAGGAATACCTAATAAATTTAAATTAATTTTATTAAGTACAAGGAATATTTTCTATAAAAAATAGTCTAATTTTTACACTAAATAATTAATTTAGAGACCTAAATGAGATCCAAAAATTATGAAAATTTGGATTGAATCCTCTTAATAAAATTTTGAAAATAAATTAAAATTTTGAAAAGTATAGAATAAAATCTTAGAATCAAGGGACCAATTGCATATAAGTTAGGGACTAGATTCCATAAAATTGAAAGTTTCAACTTCTAAATTAAAGTTACTCGTGAACCTAAGGAGTTTAAAATATATTAAGGTACCTTTAAGGGAAGGACCTAAAGTGATCAATTGGAAAATTTAGGGATGGTGGAAGGAGTAATTAAGGGAAAGATTAAGAATATGAGGGACCAAAATTTGGCTGCATGATTAAGCCTTAATTAATGCACTTTGACTTATTTAAAAATGAAAGGCTATTAGGCATGCAAAATGGAGGGATTAGGTTTAAAGAAAAATTAAAGGCCTAAAAATTGTCCAATTCAAGGGTTGAGATTAAACCATAATTCAATGGCCAAGATCACTCCAAAACACCTTAATTTAATGGTTGAGATGGAGTAAAAAATTGATCAAAATTTTCCTATAAATAGGCATGCATAAAAATCACAAAAACCAAAGGAGACTCTTGTAAAATTTTCTTAGGAAAATTACACCAAAAACTAACCAAAACCACTCTTACACACCTTAAATGGAACCACTAAATAAAGATATCAAGCTAGGAATTCAAGAAAATTTCAAGGGGGAAAAAGAAAGGGTTAGGCCGAATTCGGGGAGAGAAGAAGGAAGAAGAAATTTCTAAATTTTTCACTTCTTGAAGTTTAATTGGAGCATATTTAGGCAAGTTAACCTCACCTACATCACAAGTATGTTTAATTTCAAGTCAATTTTATGTTTAATTGCTTGATTTTGCTATAATTGCTTAATTAAAGAAAAATTGGGGTTAGGGTTCTTAGTGAACCAAATTTGGAGGAAATTATTTTAGACCTATAATTCATGTAATTGAGATGAAAATAAGTTGATTAGGCTTGAAAATTTAGGCTAAAACTAAAAAATTTCTAGGATTATTCTTAGTACCCCATTTGGCCTAAACATCAAATTTGAAGGTTTTTAGTGCTTTCATTTAATTTATATTTTAGCACTTAATTTTGACTTAATTAAGCATGAATTAGTGCTTAGAAATGACTAATTACATTTTAATTGAAGAAAAATCCCCTAATTTTAGGATATTCGACCTAATTTAATAAAATTAGGGTTTGACTTCCAAGCTTTTAAATTATCATTTGAGGAATAATGACACTTGAATAAGCATTTTTTGATGTCTATGAATGAAAAGTTTGATAAAAATTGAAGAAAATGGGTTATATGGGCTTGGGTCTAATTTTGGCCCATTAGGGCCCAATACGGGTTTGGATAGGAATTAGGATTCTAAATTTTAATTAAATTGATTCTTATGATTAATATGTATTTAGGCTACTTGGTATTAAAATGGTAGGACAAAATGAGAAGAAAATCTTAGGATTTTAAATAGGGGAAAGATTCGACCTAAATGGGGAATTTTGAAGGATTAGGTATAAATCAAGTCCCAAATCCTAAATTTTTTAATCCAAGTCTAAAATAATGTAAAATGAAGGTTTAAGATGGAAGTGTTCATAAAAATCTAAAGAAAAACTTGTTTAGCGAAAATTAGATTTTAGGCCCATTAAGGCCCAAACAAAAATAAACCACATACTTAATTAAGTGGCACTTAGTTAAGTTAGGACATGGAGTGGGACATTATTAGGTAAGTTTAATTGTGTAATGCAAGTTAGAACCTTAAAGAAAATAACTAATGAATATAAAGGTACAATGTCGCTTAATAAAATAAAAATGGAATTTTAGTTGTTTACCTTAACTTTATGCTTATAATTGCATATCTTTTTATATAATATGTGATGCCTTGAATGGTGAATGAAGTGTATGCTTGAGAAATATTTGATAATGGAATTGTGCTTT